TTTCCCCCCCCCCCCCCCCCCCCCCCCCCCCGACAGCCGGCCTGCACACCCCTTCCGCCCCGTGCCTGGCCACCACGGCGCCGAGGCCAACAACGTTGGGGGCTGAGGCGTCCTGCCGGCTGGTGTTGGTGATGTGCCCGCCCAACTTCCCTGCCGCAGCCGGCTACCGGCCGTGGACTGCGCCCGTCATGCTGCTCCCAGGCTGGTGCGACCAGCCGGAGCCAAACCAGCGCAACCGCGAGGCGCTGGCTTACGCAAACCACCCCTGCCAGTTCCTCACCAATGCCACGGCGGCCGCCATTGCGGCGGCCATCAGCTGAGCCGCCTGCACCGTCATGCTTCTGCTGCAGCTCCCGGGTTGGCCCGGCCGTGTGCTGATGCCCTGCGCAAGCCAGCCCGGCTTGTCCTGCCTTTTCCTGCTCCACTACATGTTCCCCATGGCACCTCCTACCAAGTCTCGAAATTCTCGTCCACACCCCTACCAGTACACAGTTTTCTGCCACCCCAGTCTCCTGCTCACACTTGAAAAGCGTATCTTCTTAATCCTGAGTGACCTCATTACGCTTCCTTGTAATATGTGCAATGGCATCCTCCACCTGCCGCCGGCCAGCCAGCTGCCCCGGCAGGTCCAGCCCGGCGCTATTGCTCCAGCAGATCCGTCTGCAGCTGCTGCACCTCCTCCAGCGCCTCGCTGATGGCGGTGATGGTGCCCTGCAGCAGCTGGTAGCTCTCCCGCACCGCACCCGCATACTCCGCCTGCAGGCCGCGGTGGAGGGGTAAGGGCATGACGCAGAGGGTGCCTGGTTGTGCGGAGCGGCAAAGGCGCCCACACCCAGCCAGCCACGTCTCAGGCTGCAGGTAAGGGTGCTTAGCCTTTGCTCACAGCTGACCGCACCTGCGTGGGCTCATCCGTGGGCGCCTCGTGCACGCAGCCGACTCTGCACAGGTGGCCCTGCAGCAGGTCGGCCACCCCAGGTGCCAGGCTCGCCGCCGCAGCCACAGCCGCCTCCTCGTGCTGCCAGCTGAATGAGGCACGGGGGTGGAGCGGTCGGCAGGGTCATGAACGGTCATGGACTGACACCGATGCCAAGTGAAAAAAAAACAGGAGAAGGTCCAGGCCGCCTCAAGCTGCGCGGCGCCAAGGCGCCACTCGCACCTGAAGCGCTGCTGTGCGTGTGCTGCCTTGAGGGCCTGCAACGCCAGCGTCAGGCGCAGCTTCTCCCGCTCATTCTCCTGCAGGCAGGGCAGGGCAGGGATTGGCCAGGCGGGGGCGGCGATGCACGCCAAGCCTCTATCAGCAGGCTTGGCGTGCAGGCAGCAGGCAGCAGGGGACGGTGCCAGGCCGTGGCAGTGGCACCTGCACGGCTCGCAGCAGCGCCGCCGCCTCGTCCTGCCCGGTTGACTGTAGTGCGGCCTCCACTGACAGCACCCTCCGGCTGCAATCCTGGAACTGGGCGGTAAGCTGGCCCATCACGTGCCTGCAGCCCAGCCACGCCAGGCCAACGGGGGAATGCAGAGTTGAGCTGCTGTGGGTTCAAGGGGCGTACAGCTAGCAGGGGTGAGCAGAGAAGCAGCTGCTGCGTTGGAGGGTTGAGAAGCGGCTGCTGCATTTGTGTGCTGCCGTGCTCACGAAACAAGACCAGAGGTGCTTACCGGTATGGGCCCTCGGCGCCGTTCTGCAGGTACGCCCTGAACGCGGCATCAAACCTCCGGTACGCCGCCGCCCGCTCTCGCTGGACCGCCAGGAAGCTGTCCAGCAGCTCCAGCGCACTGCCGCCGGCCTGGTCCTGCTGCGGGGCCGCCTGCTGCTGGGCTGGAGGGCTGTCGCCGGGTGACGGCAGAAGCGCCTGCGGGCTCATGACTTTGGCTGCCGCTTCAACTGCACCTGCTGCACCGATATTTGCCAGGCCTGCCCTGCCCCGGCGCCTGGCCTCTCACTGCTGCTGCTGCTGCTGCTGGTCCTTCTTGGGCTCGAACCGCAGGCTCTGCTGCCACTCAGCCACCTTCTTCTGCACAAACTCAACCTTCTTGTCCTGCAGGGCAGACCGAGCCCGGGAGGGATTTCAACATACAGCATGACATCATCCAGTCCAGGTCCTTGCGTAGAAATGTGCTCCCGATGCTGCGCAAGCGCTCCCACAGCCAGCGCTCCCACAGCACCACCAACGTGCGGGGGGAGGCAGCACTCTTGGTCGATGCAAAGCCTGCCGCCGCGGCCGCACCTTGATGAACAAATTCTTTTCGCCCAGGTCTTTGATGATGAACCTTTCCTTGGGTGGCTGCTCCTCGTTGAGCGAGCGGATGAACTCGATCAGTACAACGTCTCTGCGGGCGTGCGGTGTGCAGGCGGGTGGTGGGGCCGGCGGAGGGCGGGCCTGAGAAGTCAAGCAGCAGCGGCGGCGCAGGGCACGCGTCGAGGCGGCGGTTACTTTGCTCATAAGCATCGCAGCGCCGCAAGCGAGCGCTGTGGCCATGCTCACCCGGTGATCAAGACTCCGTGGGTAGCTTGCACCATCAGTGCATCGCAGGTGGAATGGGGGCGTTCAATTGGAGCCCCTAGGACTGTTTGGCAGCGAATGCTGCCGCTGGCAAAGCCCAGCAGGCGTAGCAGGAGGCGTTTTTCCAAGCCCGTGAAGGCTACCCAGCATTCCTGGTCGATTGCAAGAAGCTCTTCATCGATCTACAAGGCTCCCTAGACGTCTGCCAGCCGCATGGGTTGAACTGGCAAGTTTGTGCGCTGCAGCCCCAAAAGGGGCCCCCCTTTTGGGGATTCTTGGATGGACGCCACCGAGAACATAGCGCTGGATGAGCACCAGCAGGCGGCCTGGTGAGTCGGCGGGGGCTGGCAGCAGAGGGGTGGGCGGCGACGGTGACCGCGGCAACAGCCTGACGTGCCCCGCCTGTTCCCTTCAGGGACAGCATCCGGCGGGGGCACAACGTGCTCGTTACAGGGCCCGCGGGCACTGGCAAGAGCGCCCTGCTGCGCCACATCATGGCCCAGCTGGATGCGGATGGTATCCCCTATGCACTGGCAGCCATGACGGGGCAGGCGGCGGAGCTGATCGGCGGCGCCACGCTGCACTCATGCTTCGGTGAGCGCAGGGCGAGAGACAGAGAGTGTGGGAGTGTGGGAGTGCCTCTGTGTCTTGGTGGTGGTGCGGGTGCTGTGGTGGGAGGCCTGCTCCGGCCCTGCTGCTCAGGGGGAAGTGGACGAGACCAGCGCATGGCACCGCTGCACCCCCATCCCTGCGCCGCAGGCTGGTCCAAGCAGCAGGCGGTGGGGGACTTCGAGATTGCGGAGACGCGGCGGCGCTGGCTGCAGGCGCTGCAGGTGCTCATTATCGACGAGTGCAGCATGCTCAGCGCCGAGTTTCTGCAGTACCTGGTGGAGGCCATCACGCGCATGCGCAGCGAGAGCCAGGAGGAAGCTGGCGGGACGCAACGCGCGCAGCAGGCGCAGCAGGCGGCAACGCAGGAGCAGCAGCAGGGGCAGCAGCAGCAGCAGCAGCAGCCCCGGCCGCCCGTGGCGCCCCTGGCCGGGCTGCAGCTGGTGCTCGTGGGTAGGTGACGTGCTGTGTCTCTGGGATCGTCGGCCGCGGCCAACTGGGCAGCCTGCCAATGAGCGCAGCCCTCGCCATGCCTGTCCAACGCCCGCGCCTACCGCCCTTGGCTCTTCCTCTGCAGGCGACTTCCACCAGCTGCCGCCGGTGGTGAGGCCTGCCGAGTTCCGGGGCCAGCAGGAGGCAGCCGGGATTGCCATGGCGCGAGCGCTGCGCTCGGCCGCCACCGACCGCAGCAGCCTGGCCCCGGAGCAGATCAAGTGAGTGGCTGGCGTGTATGGTTGCACCAGGGCTTTGAGGTGCGACAGGTGCCCGCTCCGAGGAGGCTCCCGCATTGTCGCCGCCGTTGCTGGTGCCTCCAAGCATCCAAGAGCGTGGGAGCCGCTTGCCCCTGCGCTGCAGGCGGCTGGCGCCATACCTCAACCGCAGGCTGGCCTTTGAGAGCGGGGTGTGGCAGGTGGGGTTCAGCACAACGGGTATAGAGCGGGGGCCAAGCTTGGCCCGGCAATGTTGGGCGCTGCGTCACGACCGACCTGCCGCGCCCTGGGCGCGCTGCGGGCCTGCAGGATCTGGGGATGCGGGTGCACCAGCTGTCCCTGGTGCACCGCCAGCGCGACGGGCACTTTGTCGCCATCCTGCACGCGCTGCGCGCGGGGCACCACACCCCGGCGCAGCTGGCGCAGCTCAGGTGAGAGACCCCGGCAGGGTGGCTGGCGGGGTGGCCGGGCGGGTAGGCTGCATGGGCAGGGCGCACCATGTCGCCCGTTGTGCCGGCGCCCAGGTGCCGCTCCTCCCGGCGCTTGCGCAGGGCGCTGGCGCGGCCGCTGGATGTGTCGGACGGCATCCTGCCCACCGAGCTCCACTCCACCAACGGCGCCACCGACACCATCAACCGGCGGGAGCTGGAGCGCCTGCAGGTGGGCGGACGGGTGTGGTGGGTGGTGGGTGTGCGATGGATGGATGCAGGCGGGGGTGGTGGTGGCGCGTGTATCGCAGGTGCGTGGTGGGTGGGCCTCGGGCGGGTCTGGCAGCAGCCTTGCAGCGGCGGGCAGCCGCATGCAGGCTCAGCACCGCTGCTTGATGCTGCAGGCCCGCGCAGTGGTGTACACGAGCGTCGACTCTGTCACCCCCGAGTCCTACCCTGAAGACCCGGAAGGTGGGCTGCGGCTGCCTGGCAGGCGGGGCGCCCGTGCCGGAGCCGGCGGCACTGCGCCTGCCTGTGCGAGCCACCTGCTGCCAGGTCTACACTGCCACTGCCTCGGCTGCCCGAGCATTCTGCTCCTGCGCTCCTGCACGCTTGCCTGCCTGAAGGCCAGGCAGCCGACGCGTCCCCCGTGTCGCCCGCAGGCGCGGAGGATGAGCGGTGGCGCCAGGTGCAGGCCATGCGGCCTCGGGTGCTGGGGGAGGATCGCAAGATAGCCGGCACCCTGGAGCTCAAGCAGGGGGCGCAGGTGGGCTACCAGGGCATGGAGCGGGGCCTGGCCGCAGGCGGCGAGGCAGGGGATCCGGGCAGGGGGGGCAGCGTGTCTGGCTGGCAGCCTTGCCACTAGCCAGCTGCCGCCCTAGTACCTACGGCAGACACCGCCAGCATGTGCCTGCCGATTCCGCGTGTGGTGCTGCAGGTGATGCTGTGCGCCAACCTGAGCCGGGACCCGTACCTCGTGAACGGCAGCCGAGGCGTGGTGGTGGGCTACATTGATGGGTCAAGCGAGCAGGCGATGCTGGAGGCAAGCACGTGTGGCAGCAGCACCACCTGCAGAGCATCTGTGCCCGCAACTGGCTCGCTGGCCGTCCTGCCCTGCCCTGCCCTGCATTGCCTGGTGCGCTCCGACGCTGCTGCATCTACAAGCACAGTTGTGCTTCATCTCCCGGTTCCGGGTCCCCCCCATCCTATTGCAGGATGAGCTGAGCCGCCTGCAGGCGCAGCTGCAGCAGTATGAGCAAGGCCTGGGGCCAAACGCTCAGCCATACATGCGGGCCCAGCGAGCGGCCGGCAGACCTGGCTCAGCAGCGCAGCAGCCTGTGCAGCCGCCCCAGCAGCAGCAGCAGCAGCAGCCTGAGCAGCCAGCAGAAGCCAAGCCGCTGGCGGTACCAGGCCCCCTGCCTGCAGCTGCCAGCAGCGCTCCCGCCGGGCCCAGCGACGGGGCCCCGCCCAAGACCGGGCTCAGCCAGTTCCAGCTTTTGCTCGGCCAGAGCCGCCGCTGCCCCGGGCAGCAGCCGAGCTCCCGCCTGACAACCCCGGAGGGCAGCAGCCGCCAGCAGCCAGCAGCCACGGGCTCCCCCTCCGTGCAGCGCATGCAGCGCCTGCGCCTCGACACGCCCGGAGAGGGCAGTGGCGCCACCACGCAGTGCCCTCCTGCAGCAGGCGGGGGCGCAGGCGGGGGCGCAGGCGCAGCGAGCGGCGCAGGCGCCGAGGGATGTGGGCCGCCAGCCAACCTCAGCCCTTACAAGCGCCGCCTGGATTTCGAGCAGGGGCAGCAGCAGCGGCGGCCGCGCCTGGCTGAGCAGCAGGCGGCCGAGCAGCCAGAAGTGATGCCCAGCCAGGGTTCCGCCGCCGCAGCGCCGCCAACACAGCAGCGGCAGCAGCAGCAGTAGCAGTAGCAGCAACCAGGGGAGCAGAGCCCGCCAGACCTGCTGCATGGTGCTACGCAGCGGCTCTCTCAGGAGGGTTCTCAGGAGGGCCAGCCCTCGGCGGCAGCGCGGCAGCGGCAGGAGCACGGGCAGCAGCAGCAGGAGCAGGGCCCAAAAGCACGGCGGCAGCAGCAGCAGCAGCACCAGCACCAGAAGCACCAGCAGCACCCCTCAGTTGAGATAATTGATTTGGTCAGCGACGATGATGACCCGGGTCCGGCGCAGGCCAGGGTTGGCGGCGGCGGCGGCGGCGGGCACAGTGGCAGCAGCGGGCGGCGCGGCCGGGGCGCAAGCAGCGGGCGAGGCGGCGGTGGAGACGTGTCGGGCGGTGAGCAGGCTGCCAGGCCAGCCAGGCAGCCCAATCGCCTTGTGTTTTCACGATCGGCTGTTGCACCTGACCGGCCTCCTCTGCCCTGCGTCCTGGGTGCCACCCCATGCTGCAGGCGCTAGCCAGTGGCAGTGGCAGCAGGCGCCAGCCGTATGGCGGCGAGCCGGTGCCGGTGCAGCTTGCTAAGGTTCGGGCGGACCTGCTGGCTCTGCGGGCCTTCACCGAGCAGGTGAGGGTGGGTGGCAGCGTGGGGCGGGTGATGGTGGTGCGTGGTGGTTGCGGGAGATGAGAGCGGCGAGGGAGGTTCAGGCAAGGGCAAGCGTCGCAGCGGGTGGTTGGCAGTCCAAGGCACGCTTCCGCCCTGAGCCGCCGCTTGGCCTGCCGCCGCTGTGCTGTGCTGCTGCAGGCGCAGGGCACACCCGTGCTGCTGCCGCTGGTGCAGTTCCGCTCCTGCGCCCAGCCCATCTGCATCAAGCCGCGGTCCTTCGAGCACAAGATCCGCAACATCGGCGTCATCTGCCGAGTGCAGGTCCCGCTCATGCTGGCCTGGGCCATGTGAGGCGATGCCGCGCCGCCGCAGGCCCGCCACCGTGCGTTGAGCGTGCGCCAGGCGGGCCGTGTCGGCAGGCGGCGCATGCAATGCAGGCTCACCTGCCCCCGCACTGCAGCCTCCCGCGGACCACCATTTCCACTCCCGCCCAGCTGGCTGTTCTGCCTGGCAGCCGCCATGTCCGTGTGCCCTTCTTGCTGGCACCAACCCTGTTTGCCCCTCCTTGTCGCCCCTGCAGAACCATTCACAAGTCACAGGGGGCCAGCCTGGACAGAGTGGTGGTGGATGTGAGCCGCTGCTTTGCGGGTAAGCAAACACAGGCCGGGGCGCCCCAGCGGCGCGCGGCATGCGCTCCTTTGTCCCTCAGGCAGATTGCGTGCAGCGCTGCAGCTGACGGCGGGCCCCCTGGGGGCCTCTTGTGCTGCCCTGGCGCCTGCAGAGGGGCA